AGAGAATAGATTTTAAGCAAACTATCCTTTTAAATGTATAACTTATTATTTTAAGTCTTGAAAATACAATGTAAATATCCTATTTTATCAACATGTACATTAACAAATACTTCAAAATGTATCATACATTAAAACAGAGACATTTTTTGACTCATGGGGTCTTTTTGTCAGAGCAGTCATGCCGAATAACAAGTTTGGCAAGTAAAAAAAATGGAAGTAAAGCCTCATGAAAGCAATGTGTCGGTCCAGAGCATTTCTGTTTTCCTGCTAGTTTTTGGAGTTCCCCTTTAGGTTGTTGTTTCGACATAATTGATGCCCTTTTATAGTACACTAATGAGAGGAGATGAGTTTTTTCCAGCACAGGCATTATTTGGGTGATGAAATTGTGATTATAGTGTTAAAACTTGTTTGAGTTGACATTAAAAAAAGCTCTCAGTTTCGATGTTCAAACACACGTGTCAGAGTAAAAGTTATTTCAGCTGCAGGTGACACCTCTCAGGTGCTTGTTTCCATAGCTACTACTATGTTTACAAATATACAACTTTTTTTTTTTTACCTCCAACCAGGAAAAAGAGCTTCAGTCAAATTTAGTGGGTAACCAAACACTGGAAGATGACCAAAAAGTCCCACATTGGGTTGCAAAGGAACGTTTGGCTTTTATCTGATGCATTTTTGACACCCTGCCTACACTTTTTAAAAATGCTGGGTCATTTTGCATCAAAAATTAGGTAAAATATGAACAAACTCAAGCCATGGGTTACATATTTAAATGAATTTTTTGGTATTTGTTCATATTTGATGTGTTAGTTTATGTTTTATCTAAAAACTATTCATTATCGTTGTAGTTCAGCTTTGGTTAAACAAATGCTAATCAGTCCAGTCAAAAAAAAGGGTACTACATTTTTTTTTTTTAATTTTTAAAACTAATAAAATTGTAAATTTACAAATAAAACTATGATTAACTAATTAAATAATGTGTAATTTATGTTAGTAACTGATAAAAATAATACAAAACAGAAAAAAATCTATAGGCAATAACTTAGTGTGCATAGGCTAATCAAAAGTCATGCTATCATCATTTGCTGCTCACAGAATCGTGTGACTCAAAAGTGTCAAACCAGCGTCGCCACAAAAAACTCCATCTCTGAAGAAACCTAAAAGAGTATTTGCTTGCTCTGCAGAGTCATGATTATCTAAAGGGATGCTGTAGTTACCATGCAAACTTAAGGGAAATGTTTTCTGAACCGCATGTTGTTTAATTGACGACGCTTACGACAAACGAAATAAAACCCGCAAGTACGTATTTAAGAAAGATTCCCATCAAGCCTTTTTAACTTACATTAAGTGCAGCTTAAATATCACCTTAGAAGTTAGCATATAGGCCTAAACAGTAGCTATTGCTTCTAATGTTAGCCTGCTAACTAAACCGACTGGTTTTGAGTGACAATGCACAAATAGATCAATTTAAATTTAGCCACAAATGTGAATTTGTGGAACAAGCTGGGTTTGATCTTTTGCACTAACCATGCGGTAAATGTCATAGTGTAAGCCAGCAAAAGTGAGGTTATGATATGATTTTTTGATAAGACGTGATGATTTAATGTTGCACTCTCAGTTTTGCAGGAACAAACATCAGCAAAAATATATGGTTGCGCACATATATAGTCATAATATATATAAACATGGGTTTGCATGACTATATATGTGTGCGACCATATATTTATTCTGATGTTTGTTTATATATATTTATTTCTAATATATTTTATTACATATATAAGACTAGACTGCATATATATAAGTATAGTCAGAGTGCAGATATATTGATTATGTAATTATAAGTATATTTTTTACAAAAAGTTGTTGCTGTTAACTTCTTCCTCTCTCTTTCTCTCTCTCGATCTGCATTTTCATGTGTGTGTTTTTATGGCCATTACAACAGTAATGAGCAGTAAAGGGCAGGAAAGGGCAAAGGACACTCCAACACATTTGTAGTAGCAGCAGTTTGTGAACTCAGTTGTTAAACTCACAGAGCAGGCCGAGCCATTTATAAGTAACTTTTGTTGTTTTTAGTGTATGTAAGTGTAAATGGAAATTATTTCTGCTATGTGTGCATGCATGTTTGGGACACGGGTTCCATGTGGTCTGGGGTCAGTTCCTCTTTTTTAGGACTTGACAGAGAAAGTTTCTTAGCATGCTAATGTGTCATTAGCGCAGGCTGCATGCAAATGTACGAAACCACAACAGCAACTGAAAAACAAAATATACTCAGTGCCTCCTCTAGTCCCTCTGTTATTAACATGCATATAAACCACACAGCTTTGAATGATAGTTCCTATCTGACGTGTTCAGTTCAGCACAATGCTAACTGAACACATCTTTAACATTTATTTAGGTATTTAGCAATAACCTACAGGATTGGAATTCTCAACATGATGAAATGTTTGCGAGTAATAAGAATTAGCCTCGGTTAACGATGAATGTTTCTTTGAAGTTAGCAAGCTTAGCATAACATCGTAAATCTATTAAAGATAGAACGCTATTAAATATATGTATCGTTCGAATTAGATGTTATCTTCAAGTTAACAGTTCTTCTACAAAGCGAACGCTTTATAATCAAACACAAGCCCTTCAGGCAGGTCCTTTCGTACGACCCATAAAAGCTAATGGAGTGAGGACCACGGCTTGCTACAGTGGAACAGTAAGCAATGATCCAGCAAAGCCACAGTGAACCACTGATCAAAGTCAGCTTGAAAAAAAAAAACGAGATTTCCTTTTCATGCTTCTGAAGGGTTTTAGTGTTCTTGCATTGTCTCTTAATGATTTTAGCCAACGGATTTGGCTGACTGCTCAATTTTTAAGCATGCTGTGTGCCATCAAAGTTGTTCTTATTGGCCATATTAAATGTATTTCATTTAGATCACATACATGTAACCACTAAACATGCCATCAGATATAAATTGTATTGAAAACGTACCCATTAGTCACCAGGCCTGAAAACGACCACAAAAACGTTCAACCTCAGCCTTGTCACTTTTCTCTACATTTGCTGAGAATTTTCTGCTTTGATACCTTTTACACTGTTTTAACCCATAAGGCAATGCTTCTGTTAACCATCTTTTACGCACTTGGCTCTTTTGAAAGGTGTCTTAAGTACAAGCCCCCCAAAAAAGATTTCATTGGATTTTCTCACTGATTTGTCTGCAGTATTGTGTTAAGTATATTATATTCCAAAAATTCATTCAGACAAAATATTACATTCATGTTCTCTTAGATCGAATAAAAAAAAATCACAGATCCAATTTGTAACTTCGAGATGTTTTTATACTGTATAAAAGATATTATCAGCAAATACAACAACATATTTTTTGTGCTGTTTCATTTAATAAGTTATCAATGATTAAATAAATTTTTTATAGTTAAAGCTGACATTCAACTTGATGTTTTAAAGTGATTGTTTATTAAATAAAAGAAATGTACTCACCCTTTACTTGTTCCAAACTTAAGATTTTTTTGGTAACACTCAAATAATGGTTTATTAGTTAATGTATTTACCAACATGAACACACTATTAGTAGTATATTTATTACAGTGTTTATTCATGTCTCTAACGTTAATGTTATTTAAGTTAAATAACATTAGTTGGATTTAATTATTACAGTAAATGTTGAGCTATGATTAAATAATGCTTTACAAGATTATTCATAGTTAATCATTGTTATTAAACACATTAACTAATGGACTATTATTCTAACGTGGTACCATTTTTTCTTCTGAACAACTATTTTGAATGACAACTGTAACTAAACCATTCTTGATCCCCATTAACCTCCTTTTGGAAATACATATGTCTGTATAAAACTCGTTAAGTTAACTTAACTCCAACTGTTTAAGGGAAACAGATAGCGGCAAACTATTTAAGTATTGAAAAAAAAAATGGTTTGAGAACTGTAAACATATATTGTGTCACATATACATATATACTTTGTGTTGATATCATCAAACTGGTGTCAAACCCAGTTCCTGAAGGGCCAAATCTCAGCACAGTTTAGCTTTAACCTTAATTAAAACACCTGATCAAGCTAATTGAGTTCTTCAGGCTTGTTTGAAACCTCCTGGTAAGTGTGTTGAAGCAGGGTTGGACCGAACTGTCCAGGGCTGCGGCCCTCCAAGAACTGGAATTGACACAGTATTAGCAACCTAAATATTTTAACTTCAGTCATCAAATCACTATTAATTAACTTTAACGAATTAAGTCCAAACAACTATATAGCTACTCAAATGGTTTGGTATTCCTTCTAGCATTAGTAAACAAAAACAAATTATTTAAGTTAAACAAACTCATTTCATTTAGTGATTGTTTTTTGCTGTTAAGTTTTACAGTGTGGAAATGAATGGGGACCATCAACTTTTTGGTTATTAACATATTCTTCATTTGTTCAGCAGTGAAAAATAAAATATCAAGCAAGTTTGAAACAAGGTAACTGTAAGTAAATTGTCATTTTTAAAGTCAGTTTAATGCGAGGTAAAATAATTTAACTCTGCTTTATGTAATACAACTTATTAACTCACCGAAACTTAATCTTGAAGTATTTCTGTCTTCCTAATGTTAACCTCTTCATTTAAACTAAAATTAAAATGAAATAAACTAAACAGAATACAATTTAGGCGGGGGGGAATATTCCATTTTCTTGCTGTGCCGACACTTTCAGAACATTTCTGATGTGACAAGAAATGCTGACAGATTTTCAATTTCAAGTCGGTGGTGTGTGGCGTTTCAGGTTGTGTACAGTGTGCACAACATGTCTGTTTATTTCTAGGCTTCCTGTTGGTGTGCGGCCAGCAGCATTCTGGGTAAATCTAGAGGTGTCCTTGTGGCTAAGCGAAAGCCATGTGTCAGATATAACACATTCGCAGTGCCATATACCCACAAAAAAGTCACTCTTGCATTCAAGCAACGTACAAACTCACATGAAAATGCACACAAGCTTCTTGGCGTGGCATTCTTGTATGATGTCAACAGAGATTAAACTAGTTTATTATTTTCAAAGAGGGAAAAAAAAATTACGCAACAAAAAAGCAAGTCTTCTTTTTACACTAGTGATTATTAAATTTGTACAACCATTCAGTCTGCATTACATAAAGAAATAATTCTACATCTTTGTTTCTTTCGTATTTTTGGTACTCTGAATTATACATACAAATAACAAATACAGGAACTTTTTTTCACAATGCATATAACCTGGGCCCAAAGAAGTCTTTCTGGTGTATATGTGAGAGAGTGTGTGTGCGTGTGTGTGTGTGCGTGTGTGTGTGTGTGTGCATGTATGTGTGTGTGTGTGTGCATGTGCGTATGTGTATGTGTACGTGAACACAAACCAATTGCCCAAGACCTATAACACATCCAGAAGAGTAGCTGGAAGTCTGCAAGACAGACCTGACTACGAGTTTTAATGCATTACACACCATTTCCATTCTAGGTTTCCTCTCCCTACATCTCACCTCCTACTTTTCGGATAGAAATCGTGACAGAGTCATTCCACCTTGCAGGTTTAAGTCGTACCCTTCTTATCAATAGCTGCCCGCGGGCATTTCCCGTCCTCGCCTTTTCGCTCTTTTAAAAAGTCTTCATTAAATGTATTTCAGACATTTTTTTTTACAAATATATGCAGAGTTCATCTCCTGTTATCATTCACAGCTCGATTCCTCGTGTCTCACAGGTTGGGGGATGAAGTAGAGGAGATGCGATCAAGAGGAAGAAGGGGTTTTGGAGTTAGAGAAGGTTACTTTAAAGTATGGTAAATGTTTGTGCCTCGATGCCCACAGGAAAGATGGCATTTGTACACAAATGAAGGTTGACATCAGTGCGAGGCTTCAAGGTTGAAGGGGCAATGAAGAAAGTCATTGTCTGTTCTCTTTCCTTGTAATACGGGGGAAATAAGGGTTTTAAGCGGGACACGTATCAAAGGGGGGGCCATGTAGCGCGTGAGGGAGCTGGAGGGTTGCGGCGGGTGACAGGCTTCAAGGTTAACGGTGCTTTGAGATGTCCACCGGTGGGAGATTGGAGGTAGCAGGGCCGTCACTTTAGCCCATCGCCGTCACCATACTAGATGGGTGGTGTGAGGCGAAGGGCAGGCTAGAGGAGGGGTGCATTGGGGTGGGTGTGGTGAGCATGTGGCCCGAGTGCGAAAAGGGAGGGAACGAGGTCATGTGACGCGACAGGGCGGCCGGGCTGAAGGAACTGTTCTTTTCCATCAAGCTTTTGGAGAAATCCTCCATGCTGTCATGGGACTTTTTGCTCTTCTTGGACTTGCTGGACATTTTCCTGTTCCGGGTCTGGATGCCCTCCTTCTTCATGGTGAGCGGTCGGTTGATCTACGAGGAGAAAGAGTGAGAGAGGCGGAGGTGTTAATAATGGCCACGGGACCGTCCCGGTTACATAAGACCAGAGCATAATGGAAAAATTTAACACGGTTTTTAATTTCGTAAGACATCCAGAGGAACACTTTATTGCTCTTGATATTTCAGGAGACGGTTGTGTTCCTTTCAAGTATTAACATAATCTCAGATGTTTCTCCTAAAATTCCATACGGGGAATAAAAATAGACACAAAGGAGATAGTTGTTGATGCATGGTCAAATTAATGTGGATAGAATAGCTCGGATAACTTGGTTTGTAATTAAATTTCGGAATTTTAAGACTCTTGCAGACTTTGGAGTAGAGTTTGATAGATACTTTGAACAACTTGTGAGAAGCAGAAGAGCTAAAAGGAGTCATTAATGTAACATTTTGTTGATCCAAACATGTATGACTTCCTTCCTTTCAAAAGAAGATTTTTTTAGAAAAAAAAAAGTCTGTGTTTTTTATGTCTGTACAAACAAAGTCAGTAGACAGGCAAAGCAGCACAAGATTTCATTTTGATGCTTAGAAGAAAGTTACACAAGTATGGGAATGAGAAGTTTTATTTTTAGTATTATTTTTAACTTTTGCCTTTTAAAAAAACTCTTATTCTATCAGTTCAATATCTTTAATTGCCGTCTTGAAGAAACACTTGAGATATTAAACAGATCTAATTTCCGATTTCTCCTTGCAGCTTCATGTTGGAAGCTGACACCCCGGTTACTGGGATTAGGATTTGGTTAAACAAAGGCGGTCACTTTAATGCTTTATGTAATACAACTTCATTATAAGACATGTATGTTCTTAGTGTGTATGTACAAGTGTGCGTGTGTTGGGTCATATCAGGACTAGGCTGGATTTAGCCTCTGATGCCAAGCATGGACGATGCCAGTCTTGCCAAAGAAAGAAACCCCATACTAGGGCCAGCCGGGCTCAAGCACAGTGTCCGCTTGCCAAAGTCTGCCAATTTTAGCCAGTAATTGGACTTTTTTTCTCCTGGTCTTAAAACATTTAATGAAAGAGTGTTGGGAGCTTGTTTACGAAACTTTCAGACTTATACTTTTTTTAGTTATTCAACCATTTTGATTTCTAAAATATAGATACATGCAATGTGAGCATCTGTACTTTTTTGCTCACTTATTAAAACATCTCCACTGGACATCACAGTGAACATGCATGCAGTTGAAGTTAGAATTATCACCCCCCCTTTGATTTTTTTATTTTTTTTTATTTCCCAAATGACTTTTAACAGAGCAAGGAAATTTTCACAGTATATCTGATAATATCTTTTCTTCTGGAGAAAGTCTTATTTATCTTGTTTTGGCTAGAATAAAAGCAGTTTTTAATTTTTTAAAACCAGTTTAATATAAAAAGTATTAGCCCCTTTAAGCTACATTTTTTATAGTCTTTTATTAAAACTGTTATGTTTAGAAATTTGTTTAAAAAAATATCTCTGTTAAACAGAAACTGGGGAAAAAATAAACAAGGAGGCTAATAATTCTGGCTTCAACTGTTTAAAGCTGTTGACTATAAGTAACTCTTTCAGTTGTGATTTTAGTGACCACATAAAGAAATTGAGAATGAAATGTCATACAGACATACAAATACAACCACAAATCAGTACTCATGACAAATCCCTGCCCATTCAATGAGAGATGGGAGTGATTATGATAATGCGAACATACAAGTTAGTGAAGAACACTCAATTTGGCATGCAAAATCTGGAATTTGATTCAAAGCAGGCTGAGCGTAACAGAAAAATAAGATGTACCAAAACAAACTAATTTTCCAATTAGCCCAGACTGTTGGTTGTTTCAAACGATAATACGTGTTATTTGTTTTCCTGATAACCTAGGTCAAGTTTTTCTTTTTGAGATCTTACGAAACAGCCAAAACCAACATAGCAAAATGATTTAACATGGTGCGTTTGCGTGACTAGTAAAGGAGTGAAACAGGAGCGTGGGGCCTCAAAGTGTGATGATACAGGATACCGGAGCTGATTAGGTAGAATGAAAATGTTCCCCGGCATATGTTTAACATAGAAATACCACCAACTGAAGTGAAATTCAATAGTTCAACAGTACTAGCAGTTAAGGTCTGGCATAATAGGAATAAAAATAAATAATAATTTGAGGAAGAGCTAAACAAATATCTTCGTGAAATTGACTCTAACGTCAGTGGGACCACTAGGGCAATGCTGAAAAATATTTTTGGCTCTCATAATGGGTTAAGATGTTCCTAGGGTGCGAAAATCCCAATACTGTAATAGGGTCAATTGAATAGGTCTTGCGAAATGCATAGAATGGAAACATAATAGCATATGATTGAGTATTGAATCATTTTAGAGTAGTCAAGGCGCAAAAGACCAAACAGACTGAAAGAAAGAAATAAAGGAATGAAGAAAGAGAGAGAGTAAGAAATGGCATGACATGAAAGCATGCAAAGAGAAGATAGAAAATATCTTACTAGAGAAGTGTAAGACAGCTAGGGAGCTTACATTGTGTAATTTGTAATACAGGCCGCAGGCATTGCAGACAGGGTCGCCGTTGGCATTTCTCCGCCACAGTGTCGTCGTGGTCGTTTGACAGTTTGCGCATGAGGTCCCAGCTCGTCTGGCAGCAGACTGATGGACACACATAAACAAAAACACAGTTATTACACTTATAATATCAGAACTTAAAATGATGATTGCATTCCTATGGTGCTAATGGCCCCCCATCCCCTTCTGTTTCCTTAAGCTGCAAATGGTTCTAAGTGATGCACAAATATGTCAGAGGAAAAGAGATCTCCAAAACACTGGTGCTTTAAGCTCATGGGTAAAAATAGTGTCTTGCGCACATGCCCTTTCAAACCTAAATATTTACAAAGGACATGAAAGCACTGGTTTAAATAGTGCCCATTAAAACTGATGACATTTTCCCGTTAAATGATGGAGAAACAGCCGTACTACATGAAATGGATCCAACGTTTAAACATCAACCTTCAGTTAGATATTAGCCATCTTTATTCACATCTATATGCTGCACTAAAATAGCTTGCAAAAAAATAAAGAAAAGAAAAGCAGTTAGAATTATTAATTATATGCAGTTACTAGCAATCAATTATTAAAAAGATTAAAAAAAACAATGAGTATAAAACTAGATTGAAATACAATGGATTTACATAAATCAGTATGATTTTGAAATGGGCTATGCAGGAGGGAAAATGCAGGCATAGGCAAATGCTGCATTTAATGTCCTGAAATGGGATGAGTCATTAAAGTGTCGATTAATTCATGCGTGTGATCGAATCGTCAAAAATGCGAAGTGTGAGTGTTTTTTATTTGGAGAGATTTGTACTAGCAAACGAATTAAATTCAAATTCTGTGGTAAATGTGTTGTTCTATAAGGGTAATTCTATATCCCTCATACATTCTATTCTTTTCTTTTCCAGCATTTGAGCTGAGAAGATCAATCTGAAGTCGTGACTCCTGTATGCGCGTTCTCGCCCGTGTGTTTAGACTGCGGGAGCGAGCGCTGTTGTTCGAGGAGTTTTATCAGCAGCGCTCAGATATCCGCCAGTCTTTTCCTGGGAAGTCGGCTTTTCACATTAGAGAGGGAGAGAAGGCCAATGCCAAAATAGCAGAGCTCGGACTATTTCTCTGCGCCTCAAGAGCCTCGACTCTATCCAAAGCCTAAAGAGAAACGGTGTCGGTGCTGCCAGGCCATTGAAAGCAGAGAGTTGTTCCTCTCTCGTTTATTAAATCCCTGTGAAACAGTGTCCCTGATGAATGGCATATTGTCAGAACTGAACCTAATTTCTGCAGACATATTTGACCTGTTGGAGCTGATCGCCTCCCACGCGGACTCATTTGAGATAAGCGCTCGTTTCACAACACTTTGAAGTCGCTCCGTGACAAATTTCGCTACGCTAACACGTAGACACACAGTGTCAGCAATATTTGAGATACAATTAAATTGTCTGGGCATTTGTGTCGAGTGGGAACAAAATAAAATAAAATAAAAAATTCTGATACAAAAAAATGGCATTATTATTATTATTGCTAATAATAATAATAATAATAATAATAATAACTGCTTAATCTAAAAGAATTGACACCTGCGCTTGGCGAGTCAATTTCTTGCAGCTAACACTTCTTCCTGGGTAGAGAAAGAGAAAAAGACAGAAGTGTCATTAATACAGTGCCATAGAGCAACATACCAGCCTCCGTTTGGGCTTGATGAGGGGTCGGTTCTGTCCGTTCATCTTGTGGTAAAGTCCGCAGGCGTTACACAAATAGTGACCGGTGCCATCCCTCCGCCACAGAGGAGTCGAGGTGGCCCCGCAGTTTACACATTCTCTACCCTCTGCGAACACAGATACACACGCATGCACATCTCATTTTTAGAGCCACTAAAACACAACTTACATGCACACGCAAGCACAACTACACAACCCATGCCACTGGTGCGCATAAACATAGTGGCCATTCGCTCGTTTGCTATATTGAACAGAATTATTGCAGATTAAATATGATGCAAATAATATACACAAATAATACACAGATTAAGAATAATAATGAATTATTCATAGGAATGTGAAGAAAATGCAATATCAAAAATACAAACAGGCTGAAGAGTCGCACTAATAAAAAAAGTATGAATTTGGAAATGCATTAATAACATTATTATTATTATTATTATTATTATTATTAGGACTATTATTAATGCATTACCAAATGAAAAACATTATCTAGCATGACATCACTAAGCTTAACTCCTCAATCGTCAAATGTGACATCACCTGATAAGATCAACAAATAACTTAGCGGTCCTAAGTAGGCAATGTTGTGAATATTGTACACAGAGATATACGAATCAATGCGCTGGATCTAAACAACGATGCCCTCATCAATTATTAGAATGGGGAATCGCAAATATAAATAAAAAAGCTGCTGGATATATAGCCCGATTTTCCACAGAAACAACCTCCCGGTTTATTAGCTAAAGCACGTGATTGGGAACAATTAAGATGTGCTCGAGTAAATGTTTAGGCTGAAATAATGTTGAATGGATTCTGTAACAATGAGTGAAAGCGTCGGTCTAATTAACTCATCGTGTAACCTGCTCTTTTTACGTAATTAAAACAGCGTAGCGCTTGATTGGCATTCTTTCCGTTTGACTGACAGGTGAAGGGCGCGCGCTTCACATGTTCAGTGACCCACGCCTCCGGTCGCTCCGCTGAAACGAAAAACAACCTCGCCGTGCAGCCCCTCTGTTCCTGACAGCATTTCTGCCATCATGTGTGGAGGCAGAGACTCTTTGTGCTTGTAACTGCCCCAAACCCACAGACCTCACGAGCACGTCGCCCCAGATACATACACGCAAATGTGTAACGGGGTGTTCTGTTGCTTTATATTTTATGTAATTTTATTTCATAATAAAACCTAAAAAGGAACAGGTTGGATTACGTATGTCTGCTTATTATGCAATCTTTAGCCTCTTCTAAACTCATACAAATTAAAATGCAACTGTATTGAATAACAATATATACAATATTATCTTTTGTTGTTGTAACTTTAAGATGTATACACAATTATATACATCTAAAATGTATAAGTTATAGTAATAATAATAATAATAATTATTATTATTATTATTAACACGTTAAAACCAATTTTATCTCATTATCCTTAAATCATTTTCATAAATAGACCATGATTTAATGGTGCGTTCGCTAATTGCATAAAAAAAGGTTGACCTTTTGAAATAATTTTCAGTGTGTGTTTGGATAACACTGTCTGTGCATGTTGGTCGTGCATTGCGCCAGCTCATTCGTTATTCCGAGCGATCCGCGGCGCATCCGGACTCTATCAAAGTTTCTGCGCAAAGTAAACAATGCAACTGTCGCGTGCAGCAGTCTGAAAATAATTGGATTAGCTTAAACATATAAACGCGAGAGAGACGGGGCCGTGCACTGCGAGGCACAAGAGAAGCAAGAGATGAGAGAGAAAACACACACACACACACACACATCTACATCCGGAAAACCCAAGCGCTCCGCATTAAACGTGTAGACTCATCTGCATATACTGAGCGACGTTTAATAAATCAGGGAGGCTAATTCCGCTTTGTAACTAGACGACATTAGATGTAATATTCTATAAACAGAATATGGTAGGAAAATAGTGCAGGGCAAGAGTGTAAAGCGATCTTTAATTTCTGTTAAAGGAAAAGTCGATAGGCTACCACAAAAAAAGGCTAAGATTACTGAATCATTAATTTATCAGGATTATAAAATAGCTTACATTAATATCAATTACAGAAAATAATCACGGCTGGTTGTTAGTGTTTTATATTATTATTATTATTGCCTGAAATTATAACATCTTATTTTGGAATTATATCATAAATAAGATTTCTTCATATTTAAGAAGCTAAGCAATTGAAGCTCCTTGAACACAAGATGTGGACTGTGCCCAAATTTGATAGCCAAGTGTTGGCACGAAGCAAAAAAAAAAAAAGTCTAAATCAATAGTCTAGGAATTGGCTAACCTGGGAGGCTGTTTTTGAGGAAAAAAGAATGGCAAGCACAATAACAGAGGGAGCTCTTGGAGGGAAAAATAGAGCTAATGCTGAATGATTTGGCTATGATTATGTTAGTAAAAATCAAAGGGTAATAAAGCGCACGCCTACCTGAAGAGGACCTTGTTTTTGGTCTCGTTTTGGAACCATAACTAGAAGAGGACCCACCTATCAGGCTACTTGGTGGGAAGAGCCCCGGCCCATAATCGGGTACATAGGAAGGGTAAGTGGCGATGGGGTGGTGCGCGGAGGACGCGCCCGCTCCGATTGAGGCCATGCTCCGACTATGAGCCGAATCCAGCTTCATGCTTTCTGCCAGAGACACCTGGTACTTAATGCACTCTTTGTCTTCCTGTCGAACAGATGAGCCCGAACCTGACGTAGAAATTGCAGGGTCAGGGGACACATCTTTGGGTGGAGTTGGGGGGAAGGTGAAGAGATGTGGGCTGGAGTGGCCAGCGGACAGCGAGGAGGAAGAAGCTGGAGGATAGACGGACAGAGGCCCAGGGGAACTGTGATGGAGGGAAGTCTTGGGGAAAGGCCCAAGGTTCCAGGGGGAGGTACTGTGGTGAGGGCCGATAGATTTGCCTCCATCGAGCCAAGGAAGAGAGCCGTGCAGCAACGATGGGCGACACATCTGACTACCTGCGAAAACAAAAGACAAGTCTGTTGTGGGATTCGTCATACCAATTGGTCTAAATAAATTAAAATCAGTTACAAATAAAGATATAATGAATTGTAAATACAAAAAAATGCAGTCAGGTCAGTATGAGTGTTTACAATTTTGATTTATTTGTTTTGTACGCATATCTGGTATTTAACTGAAACCCTTTTTAGCAAGAACCTGTTATTGCATAAAAGAACTAGTGCAACTTGACTAAATGAGTAAACTGTGAAACTGCACGTCAAAGGCCTACATTACTGTGAGAGGCTTTCGATGGCGCTGGGAAGGGTCCCAAAATTAACAGCCCTCGTCAGTTTCTCACTTTCAAACTACTTTCGATACCTTGCCCACCAGTATCTATTGATGCTGAAGGGATTTTGAAAGTTTTGATGTGTTTAAAGATGGGGTAATTCAGAAAAAAACGAGGTCACGCTTTGCCCCATTCCGCTCAGGAAGTCATGTCAATAAATTAAAGCAATTGTTCTTCCGCACTAAAATTCAAGTACCTAGTAGAGGAAAAAGCACTTCGTTGTTTAAAGTGACGAGTTAAATTAAAATTTATATTAAAAAGCCTTAAATCAAATCCCAGCTTGCTTGTGCTAGTAATGATATTTTGACCGCAATATATTAATACATTAAACAAATCAACAAATAACGTGTTTATACACTTTTTTATTTAATTAATTTAACGTGTCCCTCTTTTTATTTAGACTTCTTTTTAGATTAAATGATCGCATTGTGTTGTTTATTATTATGTCATTACTGTGTAACCTAAAAATAAAAATAACCAGGGTACTAAAAAGATGTGAAACCAGTGACACACCACTTCAGGTAAGCCACACGTAAAGTACAGTTTTCAAAAGATATGTTCAATACAATGATTGCAACAGTTCTTGTCGTTACATATTATTAATTCAGTTAGTTCATAAAATAGAGATAATGTAAAAAAACGAAGGCTAATTTAGAACTGGTTTACTTACTGTGAGGTGGCGGTGGGTATCTCTGCACGGCCCGAACCGGGTTCCCGTAGTACGGATGGTTGCTCTGTCCGTCGATATTAAACAATACATCCACATCTTCCGCAAGTTGATACTGCGACGGGTCCATGTAGGAGTGTCCCAGTCCTGGGTGATGTGTCTCAGGATGCTGGCCGACCGTGTGATGGGTCACCCAACGGTGCTGCTCCGGACTTACTTCCATCGTTTATTTTTTTAACAAACGTTCATACACTCACCGATACACACAACACGAAAGTTCAAAAAAGTCCAAACTCCTTCTTTGTTTAATCCACTGGTTCGATTTTTTTTTACTTCCGATCACCTGAAATTAAACAAGACAATTTGTTTTTACAAAGTCCGTCCGTTTGTTTGTGTTCTTTCTGTCATTGGCAAATTGTCAAAAGCTCGAATACAAAATTGGATCCGCTTGTTCAATTAAAGCGCATTAACTTCAGAAAGTCAATGCATTTATAAAAAAGTTGGTCATAAGTCCGCGCACGCATCCAAAACGCGCGTCAAGTTCCGCAAGTTTTCTCTCTCGGTTGCGTTGCGTCGACTCAACAAGTGAGTGTGAAGGTTCAGGCCGAGCCGGGTCGATCTGGATAAGTTTTCTGCCTTCTGACTAAACACAAGTTTGATCAAATCTGTGTTTATGCGCAGTAGTAGTAACCCTCTTCCCTCTTACTCTGTTTCCATCCCTCCCTCTCTATCTCTCTCTCTCACTCTCTCTCTAGTGCTCACTCCCTGTGTCTCTGAATGCACTGCTCTCTCTGTGTTTTTTTACAGTGAAGGCATTCTTTCAGGATGGCGCCAGTCAGCTCAATGCTCGCAGACAGCTGTGGCGCGACGCAACTTAAGGAGGGTCTGTGGTGTCATCAGCAGGGGCGGGGCCCAACAGCCTGGACTAATTGAATAAAGTGGGCCAGGGAAAGATGACCAGGAGCTGCGCCCAATTTTGAATCCCATTCATATTAAGAATATATTTTGTAGCACGAGTTATTTATTTGAAAAAATGCAAAACCCATGCAGCCAAGACAAAATAATTTTGGAACAGATGGCCAAAATTGTGATTAAAAAAGTAAAACTTTAAATTAGTAAAATTTACAGGTTTTAAAATAGGAAATTAAGCTTTGCGTACATCCTAAAAATAACTAAACTGTTTTAATGTATTGTGTAATGTAAAACATTAAGTCAAATATTTATTTACGTGTCTTATTAGAATTATTATATATATATATATATATATATATCAAATTGTCGTGAAACTCCCCATCGTTGTGTGGCCTGTTTGTGTGTGTGTGTGTGTGTGTGTGTGTGTGTGTGTGTGTTATCAGCTCGTGTGGTGTGTGTTCTCTTTTAAACTGTGACAGTGCGTCCTCTCGCGGTGACAAGCTCGTTTTTCTAATGAATCTCTGTGCGTGTTCAAAATAGGCTCTTCAACCCTGGATGCGACATATAGCCTATAGTTGTACATACAGTATCACCATGCTTTTCATTTCCATAATATGCTTTGAAATTCGCCGTTTTTTGTTAATTTAAGGACTCTATGCGAACAACTGCATCGTTATTCGTTTAAGGGACTATTACAAGTAACGTGACGCAAATGCATTAGCGTTGCAGCATGCGTGGTTAAAACTTTAACCTTAAAATGTAATAGGAACATATTTTCTGACAGTGTGCGCCACATTAAGGGACTGTGTCAGGTATTATTCGCTATTATTCTACTTGTAATAAGGGGGCTTGGCCCTTGGGGTGATTTCTCTGTAATGCTCCGGTTTGGCCAGCCCGTCCCCACAGATTGACAAAATGTAATTGGGCTGCTCGTTTGATGCTCTGAAATGCGCAAAGATGATGGCCAGCCCTGCCGACGCCGCTGGACGTGACGTCAGTAAACAGGCAGGAAATATACTCTACATTGGAGATTAAATATATGCCCTGTAAGCTTGGTTCCTCTCCATAGGTGTCCAGAAAAGCACCCGCTACACACACATAACGTGGAATCTAAGGAAAAATAAATGACAATTTATAAATGCAAATTAATAATAATAATAATAATAATAATAATAATAATAATAATAATAATTTCTATTCATTTGTGGTGACTTATTTTATTTTTATTTTATTGTTTAACAGGAATTGGTTTGAAAATGCTGATTCAGTAGTAGTGCATTTTCCTCCCCCCGTACAGAGAGGAAAGCCTCTTCTTTCGTTCGTAAAGACCGAAGTTGGATGGAAAGTGTTGCACTGGCTCACTGTCATTGTCGAGCTGTCAGCGGACGCGTGTAATGATCCGAGCGAGCTATTATCCCGCGCGCTAGCGTACATTAGAGGTACTCGAAGGCAACACGCGACGGTAAAAGTGAAATCCCGATTATGTGTTTTGTTTCTTGACTGAACGTCTTAAAGCTTTGTGCGCGGGACAAGGATGGAAGCCGCCCCGAAAACTATACAGACACGATATGTCAGAGTTTTGCAAGCATTCGAGCCGTTTTCCACTCGAGAAAATGCTGTTATTTATCATCCTCCAAGCTGTCAAAACAAAATAAAGTAGAATCCCACTCACATGGCTTTGTGCACCTTATAGAAATTAATTTAAAAACACACACACACACACACATGTATATATATATATATATATATATATATATATATATATATATATTTGAGGGGCGGGCCATAAAATCAGACTTCAGCTCGGGCCATGAAGCGCGCAGGCTGATTCATAGACGGTACTGTAAATCGGTGGTAGACAGCGCTACTGGGTCAGGTTGAAGATTGGGTAGATAATTTGTGAATGATTATGTCAGGCTAGGCAGATTAAAATCAGGAGGCATCACACTTTTCACTGTGGGTGAGAACTTAAGACCCGGCCGTTTTATTTTAGTCTATCCTATAACAAGGGTTAGAAGATGTGCGCTGATAACAAGCTTTGTTTTTATCGAGCACCATTTATCGACACATAAAACCTCTGTAATAATTTTGGTGGAGTGTTTTTGAACGGGTGTGTAGGTGATAAAATACGAAATTTGTCTTTACGGTAAAATACATCAATAATAAACACTATGGTGCACTAAAATATAAATGTATGTGTGTGTGTGTGTGTGTGTGTGTGTGTATACACACACACACACACATATATATACATACATACATACATATATATATATAATTATTAAACTACTGTTGTCTTTTTGACAATCAGTTTAATTACAGCTCATAAAATACTCAACCAAAACAACTGTTTTCATTTTCCTCCGCTTTCATTTTTGGTTGATCGTCAAGGCGACTGCGATTGTTATCTTGATTTCAGCTTGACTGATTTTGTCATTTATTCATGTGGACCCTCCATATATGAGCACGCTATACACACGTAGGCTGTAGGGGGATGAATCAAATTTTAACGCAAGCCTCCATGACGTCTGTGGCGACCAGTTGAAGATATGAGGAGATTTGATGAAAGGGTCGGCCTAGTGTGCCCAGGTAAAGCTGTCCAAACACAGCGGGGTGAACCAGAGGACACACACTTCACCCCAGCTACCGAAAGATGAAGACAGGGGAGGGGGTTCAAGTCCATAGCGAAACATGAGCGCTACACTTGAAATATTCACGCATTTGGGGCTTGTTCGTCACATTTATTTTTAAGCAACAAATCGTTTTACTTCTCGGTTACCAGTTGTGGAAAATCACAAAGGAGCTGTAAAGCGCATGATCGCATAGCAAATCATGCTCAAGAAATTTAGGGAAAATATTATTAGTTGTGATGCTATTAATCTATCAAAACAACAAAATCAATATTAATAATAATAAACTGTTAATTATGATTTCATTTATAATAACTGCTGCCATATATTCCAGGAATAGCCTATAACATAGCTTACTATAGCCTAATTAGTAAATTAAATAAATAAATCATAACATGATAAGTAATAAATAATAATAACAACGAGTGACAAATTTTAACTAGGAAAGTAGAGTTGGGCGGATTGTGATTCGAGTACCTTGTCTTTTCAAGAACGAACTTTCTTTTTGAATTCGTATACTCATGGCGGCGCCTATGTAGGTTATTCTGCAAATTCTTAGAACCCAGAATTCTGATAGTTGCGTCATAATGAGAGTTTGACATATTTCTAAGAACAACTGGCAAAAAAGGTGAGAGGGGAAAAACGCGAGAGCCTCGAGTGCAGGTTTTGTTTTTGATAACTCATCTAAACGCTGGTTTTCATTTGGTGCTGATGACAGCAAACAGGTCAGGCGGTAAATTTCTAAAATTATTTTTGTTTCCATTGGTTATTCGTTCCCCTATTAATCCATGTACTATATATTAGTATCCAAACTATTAATCCGTCTGTTCGTGCATCATCATCCTGTGTTCGGCTGCTCTAGCTAGGCCTAATGTATTTATTTGATCTCCACTGCTTTTTGGGATGTCGCATGTAACAACTTCATAACTCAAACGGGGTAAACAAAGAGGCGCATAGCAGGAATATTCGCGTTTAGACAAAAGTGCATCTCTTCCTTTCGGTCGAGTGCTGATTTGAGGACATGGTTTCAGATCATTTCACTGTGCAGCTGAATTGAGTGGCCGGTCTCGTGCTATCAGGCAGAAACAGCTGTTTTACGCGCATTCAGCTCCAATCAATGGACGCCGCTGCTCTCTACATGCAAATACAAACCAAACGAGCTTGCGCCCATAAAGACGGCCTATGATGTGCCTTAATGTCGCGTCCTCTTCTCTGTGTTTCCAATGCTCTTCAAACCAGCAACACAAATACATAATCTCTCTCTCTCTCTCTCTTTCTCTCTATCACACTTTATATACACACACACACACACACACACACACACACACACACACACACACACACACACACACACACACACACACACACACACACTGGAAGCGCAGTTTCAGCAAATCCACTTCTCTTTATGACCCATTGCGGGGCTAATCAGATCAATTTCACGGGTTAAGGGAAGCATACTCGCTCACACTCAGGTGGTAATAGATCATTAAAATCCTTCATCTAGAGGACGGTAGGCGGGAAAATGACTCTTGAAATACAGAGACGTCCATAAAATCCCACCCCGATTGTCGGAAACTGGACGTGGGTGCTGGTAAAACGCATAGCCTATATATGAGTCGAGTGAAATGAGTTGACATACGTATCTGGAATTGTTAAATGACTGTACCACCTTCAGACAGATCAAAACATGGATGTGTGTCGATGTGAGAAAAAATATTTATATTTATAAAACAGTGAATGTTTATCAAATGACCATGTGCATTTGCACCATACCTATAGGAATCATGTAATGGAGGGACAAAGCATCCGAAGAGAAAGCAAGCATAACGCTTCAAAACATGCAAGATAAATCAATGTATTCGACAGTTTTGGGAGCTAGGCTAATTGCTAGATATGAGTTTAGGATATAACAGATTAAAAATAAAAATCCGATTATTTACTGACCTGCAGAATTGTGGTTGACGCGTGGTCAGGCGTTTTTTTCTGATGGGCTTCAGATGTGAAGTGACACACAGATGGAAGTGCCGATGGCATTTACAGCAGGAGAGAAAAAAAACTAGGCTCCTTTTTTTCTTCTAGCCTACACACACTCGTCTGTGTGCGCGCGCGCGCACGCACGCACGCACACGCACGCACACACACACACACACACACACACACACACACACACACACGCACGCACTTACCGTACTTACTGTACACCAAGCGCCAGCTCTTCCGGGTCGATGAGGCTGTGGAGTAAAAACACACACTTAACTGAATGGGAGCAATCACACGCGTCGGTAACGAACCTTTTTAACGGAGAGAAAGAGG